ATTTTCGCCGGTCGCTTAGCTGGAGGAGGGCGAGTGATTGTCGCCTCCCGTGTGTCGAGCCCTTCACACTACAGCACTCACACTACCCATTACAGTACTCTCTACAGTACTCACTTCATCCTTGTGTACTTCCAGCCTTTACCAATCAGTGGCTACACACTCGCCCTACTCTCTACTCCCTACTCTCTCTGTGAAGCCCCCTCGCAGCTGAACTGAGTCCCCTTGATGGCGCTGTAAACACCCTCCTCTTAAGATGAGCTCTCCTCACACCACGGGAACAGGAAGCTGTCGTCACCATGGTAACAGTCCAACCTCTGGCAGCGACTGGATGGTGGAGAACAAACACTTTTTTTAATAGGACCAAAGAAAATACTTAAGTAGTACCCTCGTACCTAACTGGTTTCAGATGGGACTTAACATGGCCAACCCTCCACGGGAACGCAGACGGAGGGAGGAGCCACTGATGGGACAGGGCCTTTAAATYTGCTGAAGGCTTCTAGTGCTCTGTGGTTCCCAGTTATCTGAAGTGGTTTTTGGCCCCGCCCCCTTTGCTTTCTTGGTCCACCTCTCTGAAGTCTGCATCCAAACAGACTTCAGTGAGGTGGATTACCCACAGYTCATCATTGTATGTGATGTTTTAAATATTTTTTTTTAATCTTTGAGACAAAGATTAGAGAATCAGGTTGACACAAAGGTGGAAGCAGCAGGACTGAGCTTTTGTCCTCATTTAAAGAGAAGCTTCCTTCTTTCTCCTCTTGGGCCACGCCCATCCTAATGGAGAGTTCAGCTGCCACAGGCTGTTGTTCTGGTTTTAATTTGACAAGACGGACTGAAACTTACCAAGTGAGTGGGGAGTGGGAGACGGAGGACACACTGGAACAGAAACAAGTTGAACTTTGTTAACAGCAGGTTTAAATGWATGTTTCTGTGTTCATCTGTGTGTAAAGTCTCTTACTGGTCTTGTTGAAGTGGATTCTGCCGTCAGGACCCTCCATCATCAGATTTATGTTGGACAGGTTGMGACACCTGACGTGGACAGTCTCAGGTGTGATGGAGCGGTCCATGCAGGTGAGACACTGAGACTGAACAAAGACCCGGGACAGGTTGGTGCAAGAAGGAAGGAAACCATTTCTTGACCAGAAAGCTCCCTCATCCTGGTCTGAATCATAGATTCTGATGATCTGCTGAGCTTCTGGAAGACATGAGCTGAAGCAAGTCTGGTTCTGCAGACAGGAGACACACAGGAACTTTACTTTACTGTGATAAACATGAACGAGAACAGGAAATAAATCAAGACTGTGTGAAAACAGACAAAATCTAAACTCACAGGTGAAAAAACACAGATCCAAAACTAAAATCAAGACAAAATGATTGATGATCTGAAGTGGTGCTGAACCCACAGACAAGGATCTGGAGCAGCACACRAAGCAGATTTGTAATTACAAGAAAAAGAAGGAAAGGGCCACCTGTTAGGTGAGTTTAACCAAACACCAACAGAAGGTGTGTCAAACATGGAAATGACACGAAATGGTTTAATTCAGTTTAATTCTCTAAGCAGGGTTTGACAGTTATAAATAATGAAAAGACAACATTGTAGATGTAACTAAACAGCTCCACAGCTTCTACTTTAACACTTTCATCACAGCTTTAATGGTGCAGAACCAGTCCTGACTGGGCCAACAAATAATCTGGCTCCAGCACACAGTCTGTTGATGCCACATGATTAATAGTTAAAGATAAGTTTTTTAAATCTCTATAGCTGTGTGTCTAAGTTGTTTCTTTAAAATTCAAAATGTAAATAAACCAAAAAGGTATGAAAAGTGTACTCACTTCCAGCTGCTGGTTGTTGGTCAGAATGGGTGCTGAGATTGTTGCACCAACAAAAGCCATGTTGAAGAGGAACAACATGATTTCTGCAGAAAGAATAAAAATCAAGTCACTTATACAACTCTGATCATTACWGCGGCTCATTATGTTTTGTCTTCGTATACTTTAACAGCTTTACATATGGGTTATTATTGAATATTTCAAAAATGATTAAAGCATATGATTGTACAGTGGGGAAAATAAGTATTTAGTCAGTCACCAATTGTGCAAGTTCTCCCACTTAAAAAGATGAGAGAGGCCTGTAATTGACATCATAGGTAGACCTCAACTGAGAGACAAAATGTGAAAAAAAATTTGAGAAAATCATTTTGTCTGACTTTTAAAGAATTTTTTTGCAAATAATGGTGGAAAATAAGT